CGGAAAACTGTCACCAATTAAAAAGGGAAATTGAAATTTTGATTCAGAGAGGTAGGTTACTATCATATGTTAATGATACAGGAGGGCATCCAAGAAAGAGAAGTCCCCCGAGAAGACGAAGCAGGAAATTCGGCGCAAAAGAAAGGAAAAAATACTGAAGAGGTACGTGAAACCCGAGTAGCTCGTCATACCCTCAACACCATTGCAAGAGAGTTTGCCGGAGGACGAGAGAGTAGCTCACCAAGAAGAAGGTATGCCAAGTCAGTTATACACATCAAACAAAGATCTCCCTCAAAAGAAAAAGGAAGCTCGACCGCAATCAATTTTTCCAAGAATATCCGGAAGGAATCCTAGCTCATGGAAATGATCCAATCATGATTAATGTTTGAAAATCCATTGACAAAAGTCAAGATTTTTTATGAAAGAGGTTTAATTTTGAAAACAAGAGGGTTTTGAAAAAGAGAGAAGATTTGAAAATTGAAGAAGAGGAGGAGAAGAAGTGACTACCTTAGAACATAAAAGAAAAGCTAGAGAAAGGACAATCTAACCACACAAAGAGCTAACACTTGACAAGAAGTTAACATAAGAAATCCTCTTCCTTTTGGATTTAAACCACAAGCATAATAACTAGATGAAACAAAGCTTCCGAGGATATCCCAATAAGCCATAGCAGAGTCAAAGTAAGATCTTTCTAAGGTTTAGAAGCCAATTAGGAGAGTCATGTATCAAATGATTTTCATAATGTCAAAGTATCAACACCTACACACAGAAAATTTTCTAACAAACAGACAAAAGCAACACAAAAGCCAAATGTCTCAAAATATCCAAGAGCAAAGGGCAAAGATCCTAGATCTAAGTCTGAAGTCCAAAGTTCAAGGTCCAAGCATAAAGTCATAACATCCAGGATTTAAGAGAACCAAGCCATTTATTTAAGTGTTTAAGTATTTATTAGTGTCTTAAAAGAGATATTGTTCAAATGGGAAAAGAGAAAAAAAAAAAAAGAAGCAAAAGCACAAATACAAGTCCAAATGGACAAAGAGAAAATAAGGTAATAATATGATATGAAATGCTAAAATAAAAGCATAAAGGCAAATTGCAATAAGTAAAGAGCATAAAGATAAATGACAATTAAATTAAAAATTAGATCAAAAATAAAAAGTTAGTAAGTTAGTGATTAAAAAAGAAATGTCAATTTGTCATTTTTTGAAGAATACTCAACTAGACATCCACAAGTATGAAAACATGGTCTCATACATTATCAAGGGAAGGACTCCAACTTGGATAAAACAAAAAATTATGCCACCTGCTCCCTTTGATAACAAAAGATCCAATATATTACATACAATACCATGGAGAATAGGAGTTTGATAATTCACTTACAAAAAAAACTCAATTCCGATTTTGGGACCAATTTTGCGCTATGTTAAGCAATCGTAATTGAATTTATGTAGAAGTCAAAACTATCTGAGGCCAGTCAATAACAATGTTTGTGTTAATACAAGTTAGAGAAATGACATGTATGACATTCTCCTACAACATGTCACACTAAAAGAAAAAAGAAACTGGTCTCAGCTTAATCATAACTTCAAAGAGTAGTCCCATGACATTTAAGGTTTTTATTAACCAAAAGAAAAAAGGAGAAGATTGGAGAAAGGAAACCAAATTGAATCACAACATTTGGATCATTTCATCTTCAATTTCCATCAATCTTCTTGGTGGACTAAAGTACTATATCTATCACTAATTCAAAGCACCTAAAAAAATCAAATGATTCATTTAATGATATATTTGAACTAATGAGGTTTTATCCAACTTCATCAAACACCCAAAGTCCATGAAATTTGAAGAGAAATTTGATTAACAAACATCATAATTCAAGGTAAAACAAAGGGAAATGGAAGAAGGAAGAAAAGACACCAAAACAGCCCCAAAACAAGCCAAAAACAACATTCTGACTCGTGTTAATCGATTATCAATATATGGTTAATCGATTAACACTGTTATGACAACATAATTTTTTTAAAAAAAAACAGCATTCCATGATTCAATCATTTCTTCAAACACCTCATGATCATGAATGCAGCTGAGCACGAAAATTCTATTAAATTAAGAGAAAATAACACCAATGGAATCACAAAACATTGCTCAAGAAATCAAGTAACAAAAATCAACAAGAGATCACATTATGGAAGATGAAAGTTGAGCACAACAATGGTGGAACAAGAGTTTACCACTTCCAAATATGAAAATGCTTCAAATTAACTTCAAGAATCACACTCCAAAGCTTTGATCTACATAATTTGATGTTGATGAAGTGTTTTATGGAGGTTTAGCTCAAAGATTATTAAGCTTCAATGAAAAGCTTACTAACTTTTAATGGAAGAAAGAGTTTTGGTGAATTTGGATAGATGGAGAAAATTGAGAGTGAGAAGGAATTTTGATAATTTTAATTTGGATATCAAAATCTTGAAGATTGAATAGAATGCGGGCTCTATTTATATAATTTAGACTTGGGAATATCGGTGGCTTAGAGTTTGGTTTGGAATTTAATCTAGGCTTGAAAATTGGATTAGAAGCAAAATCAAAGATAAAGTGGTGATTAAATGAGGGTGTATGATGAAAATAAATGTGATTATGATGGAAATAAATGATTTTGCATGATCTAGAATATTCTACATGAGGTCAAATTTGAAGATTGGCGGCAAAATGCTGCAGAATTTGAAAATGACCAAAATCACATGTGTCAATCGATTAACCTCAGGATGTTAATCGATTAACACAATGAAAAAATGAGAAAAATGGTCTTTTGCTATGATGTCTTGGCTCTGGCTCAACTCTTTTGATTTGTCAAATAAAGCATGGAAATAAACACATGAACTTTAAAGTTTCTTTGGCAATAAGCAATCAAATCTTGGTAAACTCTTGATCAAATAATTTTGAATTGTTTGCAGATCAACTTTGACTTTGTTCAGATGAATTTCATTCAAGCTGGGGAACTGGTATTTGATGTTCTTGATCCATACTTCCTCCTGAAAAGGTTAATAAAAGGAAAAACAAACATATTTTTGGTATTTTGATTAGGGTTAGTAAACATAAACAACATAAAATAAAGAAGAAACACATGGGTGATTAGTGATCTCTTTCAAGACAAAACTACAAAGGAGGGTAGGAGAACCAATACTTGTGATCTTGTTTGTGATGCGAAGAAGCAAAATGATAAGTGTGATCTTTAGATTAAAAATCAGGGTATTACATTGCGATATACTAGTTTTACCATGGCTACTAACCCGAGTGAAAAAGAGAACACTTACTATACTCTCTATTTTAGCACATATCTCTAATCGTGAAAAAATCCTTCTCCCAATCATGGTGAAAAATGGTTTTTGTAGTAATAACTTTTTCATTGATTAAAATTAGTCTCTACTTGGTGGTCAAAGAATATATACTATCTAATTTGAAAACGGTTCATTTTTATAATAAATTTATAGTTACAACAATTGGATTGAAAATGATTTAGAATACTTATCGGTTTAAATTGTGGTTGTAATGGTTGCCAATATCTCAATTTAGATCTTAAAATCTTAAGATTTTACGATCTCATTTTCACCCCCAACAATCTGGATCTTAAGTAGAATCCTGTGTTGTAGCCAAATTGTGAAAAAACGTGAAACGATTGATTTTTTGTGATCTTCGCCTGTTTTGATTATGATTAACCGTCTTTAGTTCATTATCATTAAAAGGTGAGAAAGATGACAAGATGCAGAGGCACAACAATTTTGCTTTGATGGGGACAAATGCATGCCTTTTGAAATTATGAAGTTTTAGATTTAAGGTTTTGAGATTAAACATCTCACTTATAGAGTTTGTTTTAACTGATTAACTTATGGTAATCATAGTAATTGATCAAATATGTCCTTAATGTCGAACAAATGTTCCATATGGTAGTAATAAAATATAAAAACTCAGTACATGTTCAAAGAATATAAAAAAGAATCATTTTCTCACGAATACACTCGTCTACTAACATATATCATGCAAAAATACTTTAAATATATTATTTTATAAAATTTTACGATTTTTGTTGCAATCTTATGTTTTACGATCCTGTTATCCCCTTTTAATCTTACAAAAATAATTGGGTAGAATCTTCCGATCTTATATACGATTTTATATTTTACGATCTTAATATTCTCCCTTGATCTTATATAAAATTTCGATTTTGACAATGCAGTGTAACAACATAATTTTTGATTGAGAGGTGTTTGAAATATAGAATTGAAAAATCATTAATAATTTTTTATTACATAAAAAATAAATTGATTTTTAAGGTTATGAAATTTTGAGTGTTAAACTTTTCTTTTAACAAACATGACGCAAAATTGTGTGATATAGAATTCTGTACGCATGACTTTAAACACATTAGAATTGTGATCTAATATAATTGCGGAGGATATCACATCAACAATATCAAAACGACAACTACAATTTAAAACCTTGATAATACTATCAATCATTTCAAGACAATGTTTTTATATAATAGATTAGTTATTTTAGAACCAAGATTAAATTATCTCACTTTCTTTTATTATGAGAGGTATTTGTCCAAAAAAAACTTTATATTCTTAATAAATCTTTACTAATGCTAAATAAAGTTTAATCATTGCATATTCCATCTCTTTACTGATATTCCTTTTAAGTTTCAACAGTATTCTTTTATATATAAAATTAGCTGTAACAATTTGTGAGTTGGATACTGTGTTTTTTCATGATAAGTATCTGAGCAACACTTCATACTTGCCAATGTCTCATCCATATAGAGGGGTCCCATATGCATTCATGGTTTCCATTGTCAAAACAGGTTAGGTAAGAGACTAGTAGTTATGAGTTTTGGATTAATCAATCATTTTCATCACAACATAATATATACCAGTGCATAGAGTTCACTTCACACTACAAACACAAAACTTGAGAGAGAGAGAGAGAGAGAGAAAAAAGCAAAGATGGTGAACACGGTGAACGTAATTTGGTCACTGGTTAGTTGGGTAGTGAAAATGGCTGGTTTAATGCTCTACACAGTAGAGATAGAACCAGGCACAGTAATGAGATTCTGGGTTCCTTCTAACGCCATTTCAAAATCCAACAAACCTATTTCCAAACCTACAAAACCCGTAGTGGTTCTTCTGCATGGCTTCTGCGGCGACGGACTTGCAACATGGCAGTTCCAAATCAACCCTTTAGCCAAAAGCTACGCAGTTTATGTTCCCGACTTAATTTTCTTCGGCGGGTCCGTATCCGATAAGCCGGATCGGTCACTGGCTTTTCAGGCGGAGTGTGTGGCGGCCGGGTTGAAGAAACTCGGCGTGGAGAAATGCGTTGTGGTTGGATTCAGTTATGGTGGAATGGTGGCGTTTAAAATGGCTGAGATGTATGATGAACTGGTTCAAGCGGTGGTTGTGACTGGTTCGGTTTTGGCTATATCGGAGAGGATGATTAGTAAGGCTGTGGAAGATGCTGGGTTTTCTTCTTGCTCGGAAATGTTGATGCCATGTTCTGTACAAGGAGTGAGGAGACTTCTTTCTGTTGGTTTCTACAAAAACATTCCGTTTCCAAATCGTCTGCTAAGTGATTTTATTAAGGTTTGTGTTTGCATAATTTAATTGGTAGGCACTATTTTGCACTATTTTACAATTTCAACCAATCACTCTCTTTTAAATATTTTTACATTTAACAATTGTTCAATCATTCTTTTACCCGCAAATGCAATAGTTGTGTGTGATTCTGCAATAATGATATCTCCCAACATCGCAAAATTATCTATTACACCACTAGTAGTGGGAGATGTAAGGATCACTAATAAAATAACTTATGGTTTATTTGATAATTATATAAAATAAACGAAATTTTAGCCATTTACATTAAATTTAAATTTCCTTCTTGCATGTGTGCTCCTCCAAAACCACGTACTATATAATAAGAGATAAAAGTTGATTAGTAGTCTATTCGATCAACTAAGTTATTTTCTCATTTATTACGAATTTTATACTCCCTACTATAAACTCAGAATTCATAACAATTAATGTTAAAATAATACTATTTAGTTGATTAATGTCTTTGTATATTCCATCATATCAGATTGTAATTTTAAATTAACGGTATGACATGACATATTAATAAATTTTTATTGCATACCAATTAAACTTGTTTACAATTAGAAAACATCTTTAATAAAAACAAGGTTTAAATATCATCATAGGATTCTAAAATATCTTAGATTTAGTTTTTACTCTAATTTTTTATTTTAAAAATGGTCTTTTTAAAAAAATATTTCCACAAAATTCATCAAACAACTTAATGACAAATTTTATAATTTAACAAAATAATCAATAATAATTTTAGCGACACTTTAATACTTAACAAAATAATTGATTGTTTTAACGCTTTTATTAGGGACAGAAGGTGTAATAAAAAAATTTAAAAGAACGAAATATTTTAAAAAACTAAAAGTAAAATTTAAAATATTTAGAAAGATATTTAATAAAAACAACAATTATAAACCATCTCAATAGTTAATTTTTAATAAATACATAGATTTAATCAACTAGTTTATAAACTATTAATTTAAATTCATATGTTATAAACTAATTAATTTATACACTATCTATCCTTTTTATATAAACCCTAATATAAATTTAGAGTACATCATAAAATAAATGTCATATTTATTTGTCTTAAAATATTTTTCACTTTAATTTATTAATGTAATTTTATTTTTTATCTTTCAATTACACCTAATTAAATGGATCTCTAAAGATGGAAATTGATCTCGTTTTATTAATTGGTTATATGGTTGGATATAAAAATATTAAAAGAAAAACTAGTTTTATGAATATTAAAAGAATTATTACAAAAGAAAATGTTGAGTTTACTAAGAGAGCATTTTACATTTTGAAACTTTTCTTTAAAAACAACACCTGAAAATATTATAATTTTAATACAAGTGAATCCATCTTTTCACTTAAATCAAAGACTCATAATATTACAATTGAAGTTTATTTGTAGGGTCAACAAACCATTTTATACTTTGAGATTTTTTTTATTTTAAAAACAACACATATTTAACACACCACATATTTATTTAAAATTTTAAAATGATAGTATGTGAATTTTCTCCTATACTCAAATCTTCAATGCACTTTTAATTTCTATAAATCAAAGAATTTTTGATAGACTATTTACAAAGATCAATAGAGTATTTAAGTTTATAATCAATATGTAACTTCCTTACACTACTCATATTTATTAATAAAAAATAAAATAATTAAAGAATATTTTAAAGACAGCAGAATATAATATAGACACATTTAAATTTGATTTATATTTAAAACCATACACTATTATTATATTAACATTATTTTATGTGGTTTATAATTATCCGGGAAGACATTACAATTCATAGGTATATGTTAGCTATTTATTACCTCTAATATTTGACAAAATATTGTTAGCAATTGATTATGATAATGACTAAAATATGTCAACTATAACTGGTAATCAATACTCCATATATATCTTTAGAAACATAACGCAAACACGTAAGATTAATTATCAATAACAATTATACACATGGCAATTTGCATGGAAGGTGACAGGTAGTCGGGTCACATATGATACTATGTAATCATTAAAGACAATTAATACTCCTTTATTCTAAATTATAAATCACTTTATCAAAAAATTTATCTCAAATTATAAATTATTTTATATTTTCAATGTAATATTAATAACATTTTTTTTAATATACCCTCAAATATTTATTATTATTTATTTATTCAACTCTTTTAATTTTTTATTCTTATATAATTATAAGGGATATTAGTATAAAGTTATACCTAATTTGTCTTTTTTATGAAGTAATAATTAATTTTTTAATTTGTGTGAAATATTTAAAACGTTTTATAATTTAGAACGGAAGTAGTATTTTACAATAATAAAATAAATTTTTAATATAATTAATTAGTAATTTTTTATATAATTCTAATTTTAATCATTTTATTTTATCTTATTCACAAAATTAAAACTTATAATTTAAATTTAAAAACGTTTTATTTTCTTTCACTTTTTTACATGTCTATTGTTCAATTTTCCTGCTTATAAAATAATTCTCTTGCTTAATATATATATATATATATATATATATATATATATATATATATATATATATATATATATATATATATATATATATATATATATATATATATATATATATATATATATATATATTCACAAGTGACACGTCATTATAGGTCATTTTATAATGTAATATATATATATATATATATATATATAAGTGTATTCAAGTAATGACGTATATATAAGTGGATCAAAACACGTCACTATATATATAAGTGGATCAAGATTATTAAATTTTTAAATTTTCAGTTAATTAGATAAAACATTTTAACAGTTTTTTTAAATAAATCTAATATTTAATTAAATATGTATTATCCATAGAAACTTCTTCAACTAGAAGAAAAGTGTAATAAGAAAATAAACATTATATTATGTGAGGGATACTTTAGAAACTTGTATTCTAAATTTAGTTTCCAACTTATGCCATCAACACTAAAGTATGCATTAGCCTTAGTTATTTGTGCCCTTAAATCAAAACTAGACAGTAGTATTTGTCAAAAGTAGTTAGTTAACTTGATTACTTATAATGTGATTTTTGTAAATAATATATCATGAATTGCAGGTCATGTTCTCAAATAGGAAAGAGAGAAATGAATTATTAGAGGCCATAGTCATTAGCTACAAAGACATCAACATTCCTAAACTTCCACAGGTTATTCATAATTTTGATACTAAAATTCTTTCATGTTCTATGTGATATTTTACAATTCTTCTAAAACCTATGTTTTTATTTTATTAATTGCAGCAAATATTTCTTTTATGGGGTGAGAAAGACAAGCTTTTCAAACCAGAGATTGCGCAGAAAATGAAAGAGTAATAAATCTTGATCACATAATTTCAATTATTTCAAACCATTCTTAAATTTTATATGTAGTTTATCTACCGTTTAACTATTTGTTTGATTTATATTATAGTAAGCTTGGAAATAAAGTAACATTTCAAGAGATAAAGGAGGCTGGTCACTTGGCTCACTTGGAGAGACCTAGTATTTATAATCGGAGCCTTAAACAGTTTCTTTCTTCTGTCATGCTTGGTGAAAGAAAATAATCCAACTCATGGTTAGGAATATGTCAAGGGGGTGTTTTGTAAGTTCTAAGTTGATAAGTTGTTTAAGTGAGTTCACTTATGTCTTTGCTTATTGTTGTGCAAGTGTTTTCACACACTAATATGAATGTTTGTATTAAGTGTATTCAAGTAAACTTTTATAAACATTTCCAAATTGTGTTATTGTGTAGATTGTGGCTTTAATTATAGATGAATGTAATGTTAATTAAAAAGCTAGTTTGAGCAAGCTAGATAGTTTTGTCCTAGATATTATGAAATACTTAATTGATATGCTCCAGGTAAAAAATTTACATAGGCTAGAAAATCATAATCATTTATGTTCGTAATCTTATTGATGATTTATCGTGAAATGGAATCATTTATATTAGGTTAAACATTCGCTTAGAGATTCAAGATTTATCTAACTAAATAAGCGAGAGACATCACGTATTCACCAAAAATTTTAAAATATTAGTTTTTTTATAAGCAACGATCTATCATTAAACAGAGTAAAAGAGTACTCTAACCCTTACACAAGTGATCGCCTTATATAGTTTAGAGGAAAGTTAAACCAGTCGAAAAAATTACATCTAAAGTGGTTTTTGAAATCTAATATAGACCACTTCCAAGACAAGAATTTAATTGAAAAAAGACAATCATCAAAGTTAAAAACAACACCATTATACAAGATTGCTTTCTTACTAAGCCACAGATTTCACAAGAAGTTGATAACCAAATCAGAGTAACAATACCTCTACCTTATGAAATCCGCCATTCATGATAGTGATAGATGAAAGTGGCCAGACCCATTTTTGGACCTTCATCCTTCCAGCCAATCCAGTTTTGAATAATTCTCCACGACATTTTAGATATTACACAATCAATGAAAAGATGATAGTTATCTTCTTCCGCTTGAAAACACAAAGCACAACAAATGTTATTAACAAAATCTTTATCTATTATGCCTCTTTTTATCAATTGGTCTCTAGTAGAAAGCATACTTAAGACCATTCTCCAATAAAATATCAAAATCTTCGATGATGCTTTACTCTTCCACGAGTTTGAAAGCCCAACTTTTTGGTTCTCGTTAATGGAAACTTCACTATCTCTTTTCTCTAATGCTGCATAACACAAGTTTATCGAAAAAATTTGTAAATCGTCAGTGCCCCAATTTAAACTATCTTCTACATCTAGTTCAGTCTCTTGTACCTACATCAAATCAATTAAATCATCCATTACATCTTGAGCAGCACTACCTCGATCTTGTAAGCTTGGTTGCTAACACCACACCCACTCCTACTTGTGCCACACTCTTCCATCAACCACACTAATAAAAGGTTGCTCAACCTTTTCATACACTTTTAGGCATTCCTTTTTCAAAGTTTGATCTCCCATCCATTTACCATGCCAAAATGCTATGTTCCTTCTAGCTCCCAATCTACATCTCAAATTGTCAGAGAATATGTTTTTCTCCGATCCTTCTTTGGCATCCAAAGTAACCAATTCTCTCCACCACATTGAGTCACTATTCCTAACCAATATTTTCTCATTAATAAGCATGATCTTTTCAGGATTTTTATATCTATGCTTAAGAATATCATACCATAATGCATCTTTCTCCTTCAATATTCTCCACTTCCATTTTAAGAGCAATGCGTTGTTGAAAGTTTCTATGTTCTTAATGCCAATACCCCCTTCTATTTATCCAAGCACACCTTTTCGCTACTAACTTAGCGTACTCGATTCCTATTTTCCGAACCTCTCTATAGGAATCTAACTTGAATGTTTTTGATCATGTTAATCACTTTGCAAGGAGCTTTGTAAAAAGAAAAAGTATATAAAGGAATATAGTTAAGGACAAAATTAATCGTCACCACTCTTCCTCCCATGAAAAGATGCCTGCTCTTCCAAATAGACAGTCTTCTCTTCAAGTTATCAATAACGTTACTCAACATATTCACTTTCCTCATACTATCTCCTACCTTTACCCCAATGAACTTAAAAGGTATGGAACCTATTCTACAAGACAAAAAGGAGGATATGTGTACGAGTCCTCTTATTTATAAAGTGTTCAACATCCATTTTTCAAAGCAATGTGAGCTAACAACTCACACTTGTTTCTCAACAATAACCCCCTCAAATGTGAATCAATCAACTATGCTCCCCTTCAAACGGAAGCTCTTTCGCCACGTCACAGGCACTTTAATGGGACATACCACCTAACCACTACCATGTGAAGAAGACTTCCAATACAAGGAGTTGGTCCTTTACTAGTGATGGGACATATCATGAGGGGGAAGCATTCACATTGGGTCAAACACTCACCTAAAGGTTAAAGACTCACCTAAAAAAGGGAGAGACACCACATATTCACCCAAAACCTTAAGGTGATGGTTGTATGGGTCCTCTTACTTATAAAGTGCTCAACCTCCACTTTTCTAAGCAATGTGAGACTTAGAACTCACACTTGTTTTTCAACACAACTCACATTTGTTTCTCAACAATCTCCCCCTCAAATGTGAGTTCATCCACTATGCTCCCCCTCAAGCAGAAGCTCTTTCATCAACATGTTTGTACCGCCGTTGAGAGACACTCTTATCTCGTCATGGGCAATTCAACGAAACACGCCGTCTGACCACAGTATCAAAAAGACTTACGACACAAGGAGTCGGTCCCTTACTTGAACCATCGACTCTGATACCATTGATGAGTCAACATGATGAAAAATCATTCATATTGAGTCAAACACTCATTTTAAGGTCAAATATTCACTCAAGCAAACAAGAGAGATACCACATATTTATTCAAAACCTTAAGAAATTAGGTGTATGAATCCTATCATTTATAAAATCCTTAAGCTCCACTATTTCAAGCAATGTAAAACTAACGATTCATACTTGTTTTTTAATATATATAAACATTTATGATAAAAGTTAAATTATTTTTAATGATCTAAGAGTTAGAGTCTTGATTGATTGACAATGAAAATCTTTTTTACAATAAAATGTATGTAAATTAAAGTCTATTATAATTATGATTAGTACTCTAAATTAATCAATGTTTTGGTCATTTCACGTGGTTTTTAAAGAGTGTAATTAATTTTGGTATGAAAAAGGAAATTTTTGTATAACCTCATAAAATTGTTATATATTAATGACACAGAAAATAATTTAAATAATTAATAGTAGAAAATATAACAAGAATTTTTTATCAATGTTGAATTGATAATGAATGAAAATGACTTATAAAAATATTTATAATTTAGGGTAGAGGAAATATTAATATAATATAATATTTTTTTTATAGTTTTAATGATGAATTGGATTGATAACTAAATTCTTTATTGATGAAATAGATAAATTAGGCCGTCAGATTTAATAATGATCCAAAATGTCTAAACTTTATGGAGAATCTTGTTCATACTTTTTCCATATTTGTCTTATGTCATCTCCATTCTTGCTTCAATGGTGAAATTAAGGGCCAATTTTTCCATGGTTTTTCATAAAAAGATATATGTATAAACTTGAGAAAACTAATAACTATCAAATATACAAAAGAGTCCTTTACACTTATCTCTTATTATATGACACATGTGTTTTTATATGGATAAGTTTGTCTTTGAACATAGAATATAAATATTATATATTAAAATAATGATTGTATCATTTTTATATAATATCCAAACTTTTCATTTAATACTATTGCCATTTGATTTTCTATCACATGTCTTTTATTTTAAATTAAAAACTCTCATCATTCTTATATAATTTGTATTGTCAACTAAAAAAATCAACAAAAAAGAAGTCTTTAATACACATAATTCATACATGAGATACTTTTTAATTATAATTAATAAATTAGTTAAATTTAAAATATTTTACATCTTCAACATAAAAATAAAATATAATTAAAGTTAGAATATATATTAATTTGATTTTAATTAATATAAAAATCATACATGAACAAATATTTGTGATTAAAGAGTTAGTTAAAATTAAGATCTTTTTAACACCGTTCAATTAAAAATAAGAAAAATTATTATATACTAAAAAAATTTATTTCACACTTTAATTTTTATTTAAATTAAATTTTTTAGAAATAAATCTGATCTTACTAGTCGATCAGAATCTGAGATGGGGCAAAGACAAACGTTTGTGATGTTGGGTGTGAAAGAGGAGGAGGAAGTGTATCTGCAAGACACTCCGATGTTAAAGTAAAAAACGAGCAAGAAAGAGAGCAAGTACATAATATGAGTGTTTTAGGGTGAATATTTGATACCTGACCCTCTCAAATCAGAGGGTTTTTATAGTTCCCCCAGCGCTTGGCCATTGGTCCCAATTTTCGGGACGAGATAACAGTTTTCCGAAGAATAGGTAACTGTCAGAACTAGCCGTTGGGACGGGTAGACGTGCCCATAACTAGCCGTTGGGACGGGTAGACGTGCCCATAACTAGCCGTTGGCACGGACAGAGGCGTATTTACGGGCACAAGCATCTTGACTGTTTCTGGATAGTGAAACTGTGCATGACGGACAGAGACTGACGGGAGAAGTGTTGTGACCAAGAATAAATTGATCAGCCTCCCGTATTAGAGGGGCAGAAAAGTAATCTTTCCACTAAATAGGTTGGACTTAGACAATTAGACCAGTCTGGGAGCAGAAATGGATTGGGTCATGCATAGTCATTGAGTCAGTTCGGAACAAAATCACTTAAGAAGCAGTTGAGGGGAACATTTCATATATGGAATAAATATTTATCAATAATCAATTAGATAAATTTAAATTATTTTTTACCTTATTTAAATAAAAGAGATTAATTATTATACACTGTCGGTGTAAAAAATTTTACATTGTTAGTTCATCACTATCATCCGTTGGTATTATTTTATTAATGTTTAAAATAAAAATCAAACTTCTTACAACATTTAATGATTATAATTACCTGACAGTGTAAAATTCTTTTACATTGTAGTGTATTTCAATTAAATCCTAAATAAAAATGCGA